AAACTCCTGGATCTAATGCAGAGAGGGACTTGGATGTTAGTGTCCGCCAGAGACTGGGTGTCTGCGCTGGAGGGTCCCAGGGCTGCCCCTCTGGGCTGCGTGAGGGGCAGGCCCGGCTCTCCTCAGAGGCGGGCGTCTTCCCTCTGTGCTCGGCCCTCAGCCCCAATTTCCCCTTTTTCTAACGACTCGAGTTACTTTAGACTGGGCCCGCCCTGTGGACACATCTCCATCCAATCTGCAACGATCCTGTTTCCAAGGAAGGTCACATTCTTTTTTTTTTTTTTTTAATGTATTTTTATTGATTTCAGAGAGGAAGGGAGAGAGAGAGAGAAAAACATCCTATATAATAAAAGGCCAATATGCAAATTGTCCCCTTGACTGGGAGTTTGACCAGGGGCAGGACAGCTGGCCAAGCAACTCTAGTCAATGAAGAGAGAGAATCATGGATTGGCTGCCTCCTGCACACCCCCCACTGGGGATCGAGCCTGCAACCCGGGCAGGTGCCCTGACCAGGAATCGAACCATGACCTCCTGGTTCATAGGTCAATGCTCAACCTCTGAGCCACACCAGCTGGGTATTTTTATTGATTTTTGAGAGAGAGAGAGAGAGAGAGAGAGAGAGAGAGAGAGATGTGAGAGAAACATCAGTTGGTTGCCTCCCACACATGCCCTAACTGGGGATCAAACCCACAACCTCCTGGTGTAGGGGTCAGTGCTCCAACCAACTGAGCACCCGGCCAGGGCAGAACCTATGCCATTTTAAGATTAGCCAGTGTCATCCAGTGGTTAGTGCAGGCGGGGAATGGAACCTGCAACTCCCTGGCCAAGGCCTGCGAAGGGTGTGGGTTCAATTCCCGTTCAAGAGCACATGCCTGGGTTGCAGGTTCCATTCCCGGCCCGTGGGAGCACATGCAGGAGGCAACCAATCAATGTGTCTCTTTCACGTCGATGTTTCTCTCGCTCCCCTATCCCTTCCTTCCTCCCTCCCTTCCACTCTCACTAAAAAAAAAAAAAAAAAAAATCAATGGAAAAAATATCCTCAGGTGAAGATTGACAACAACCACAAAAAGATTAGCTTGAGAAAACCCTTTGGGAGAGAAGACAAGGTGGAAACGGTCAGGCCTCGGCACCGCCAGGGCCGCGTCCTGGGGCCGCCATACCAGTGACCACAAACCGGCGGCTTAACAGCCACAGAATTGGTTCTCCCCGTTCTGGGGGCCAGAAGTCCGAGATCCCAGTGTTGCAGGGCCAGCTCCCGAGGCTCTGGGGAGACTGTTCCCGCCCCTCTTCTAGCTCCTGGGGGCTGCGTGACCCCAGTTCTGCCCCCCCCCCAGCTCGGGTGCCCCCATCAAGTCTGTGGGCCGAGGCTCTGCATCTCTTCTCCTATGAGGATCCAGTCGCTGGAGTCAGGGCTCGTCCTAAATGCAAGGCGACCTCATCCCAGGCCCCAGCTACAGCTGCAGAGACCCCTCGCCAAGCAACGTGGCCTCACAGGAGCTGGGGTTGGGGACAGGGACAACCTTTTGGGGTCCACCATTCACCCCACTACAGCCACCAAGAAATGCTGCCCCTTGGGTCCCTTGGACACACAGGCTGTCCCTCCTCCGGTGACAGCACTTAAGTTGGGTGGGGGGGGAGATGAGAAGCATAAGATGAGCCCGCGACTGACCAAAACGCGCACAGCCCGCCCCCCGCAGGCCCAGCACCTGCCGGCTGCTGACCGACACCCACAGCACACAACGCCCGTCACAGTCACCCGGCCAAAGCCAGGGGGGCTGCCGGGGGCCACACGCGGGACGCAGACCGAAAATCTGCTGCGCTGGCTCTGCAGCTCCATCCGGAAGCCCCGCCACGTGGGAACGTGCCGCGCCCGCTCCCTCCTCGCCGGACTTGGCTTCTCCCAGCGCCCAGGGAGGATGTCGGGCGGCGGGCAGCGGGCGCTGGCAGCAGGAAATCCTGATGTGTGTGTTTCTCTTCCTGGGCTTCCGGCCTCGAAGCAGGACTGTGTCAGGGTCCAGGGGTGACAGGACACGGCCAGTGATAGTGGCCTGGGCCCGGCCCTGGGGGCCACCCCTGGCCAAGGCCTCCGGTAACACAGGACAAGTCACGGCTGCCCCTGCTGGGCAGGCCCTGCCTTGTGCTGGCTCAGCAAGTGAGGAAGGGCCCACAGGAGCCCTGGCCGGCGGGGGGAAGCCCACAGACGCCACTGGGCTCCCGTAGTAACTCAGGGGCGCCATAGGGGCCGTCCTGGGGAGGCTGCCTCCGGCTGGGACCCTCGGCCGGCCAGCACCCCGACTATGAAGGGTCCAGTTGCAGCAGGAGGGCTTGTCTCTGCAGGCCCCTCGCTCGCTCCCCGAGGCCGGCCTGCCCTCTCTGTCCTCTAGTGCCCTCTGCCCTCACCCGTGTGAGGGGGCCAGCCGGGCTCACAGCTCAGAGCCAGGACCTCGGCCTGGACAGGGGCTTACCCTCAGATTTCACTTAAACTTAAATAATTAGGCCTTATGGGTGCTGTACATTCAAAACCTCATTTCTTAACGTGTTAAGTTCCATTTTACAAACCCGGTTATTCCCTTTGAAAGCCTCGCAGACTTTAAAGTCATTTTTGTTTTTATCAATATATATCTCTTTATTGATTTCAGAGAGGAAGGGAGAGGGAGAGAGAGATAGAAACATCAATGATGGGAGAGAATCATTGATAGACTGACTCCCGCACGCCCCCTACCGGGGATCGAGCCCAAAATCCGGGCATGTGCCCTTGGCCGGAATCGAACCTGGGACCCTTCAGTCCGTAGGCCAACGCGCTATCCACTGAGCCAAACTGCCTAGGGCTTTAAAGTCATTCTTAAGGGGCCTCTGCATCATATTTGGTCCCATCTACAAACTCAGTCAAGTAAGCATTTCCAACGTTCAGAAGTGAATTTACAAATTAGGTCTTTTACTTCCTCCTTAAGGGCTTCAGCTTGTCTGAACGGAGCACAGAACCTCGGCGCCCGAAGAGCTCACTCGTGAGATTGACCGTGTACGTGTGCGGAACCCCGAGCTGTCCCAAGTGTCCAGGAGCACAAACTCCCAACGCGCTCAGGTTTCGCTCAACTATGTAAAAGCGGACGCTCTGACTCCAACTCCCTGCAGCCTTTCCAGGCCTCGTCTAAGCCTTCCCGTGGCTGAAAGATGTGGACCCACCTCAGGGTGTCAACTGGGGGCCCCTGGGCACCAGCCGGGGCAGTGGGAGGCCGACAGCTTTGTCAGGACCCCCGGGATGCTGCCCGGTGGGGCTCTGCAGAGGGGGCAGGGGCCGGGCTCCCTGGCCCTCCCACTGCTCTTGGGGTCTGCAGGGCTGGCCCCGAGGGAGCCCTGAGTGGACTGTACAGTGCTTCAGCCCCAAAGACCCCTGAAGCCAGTGGCACCCATGACTAAATGCCTTTCTCAGTGAGAGCCCTGTGACCCTGCTTGGCATTCCTGGGACGGCACAACGGACAGGACATTGGCACAGCTCGTGGGGGCCCCTCCAGAGCTCTGCCTGGCTTGGGATCAATACCCCAAAGGTCAGGCCTCAGGGCTGAGCTGGGTGCCAGGACCACAGAGCGGCCCCGTGACGCGTGACAGTTGGTACATGACATGCATCAGCACACCCAGCCCCAACCACCCTCTGGGAGACGGGCAGGAAATATGGGGAAGAGAAAGAAGAAAACACGTTCAGTTCAAGGAGAAGCCTCTCACGCAGCAGAAATGGGGAAACAGCTGACCAGTGGTCCTGGCGTTGCCGGGGCAGGGCCAGGGTGGGGACCAGCTGTGTGGTTTTCTGCAGAAAACTGCCGGGACGCTGGGGATGGGTGGGGGCATCTGTTCGCTGGTATCAAGTGAGTAAAACTGCTGGCCTCGTCTGCGTCCAGGCCATCCCAGGGCGGACACCTCTTGCTGGGAGCTGAGACAGAGAGGTTCTGTTTGCATGTGCAAGGTGGGGCCACTGTTCGCAAGCACAGAGACAGCGCCGGGTCTCGGGTCTCGGGGGTTTTCGTGTCCCCGCTCCAGACAGCGCGTGGGCACCCCCCGCCCATGGATGACGACCGAAGGCGAGGGCTGAGATGCACTCCCCCAGGGAGATGTGGGGGCGGCGGAGGAAGGCTAGGCTGCGGGGAGGCTACCAAAGCGGCAGGAGGAAAGCCTGGAGAGGCGATTCCGTGTCCAAGAGAGAAGACCGTGGGAGCCGGTGAGGCCGGTCCCGCGCGGTCCCCTCGGCCACGCGCCCACGCCAGGCTGTGGATCTGGAGCCTCGGGCGCCCCCTGGTGGTCACACCTGGCTGCAGCGCTGTCGTCGCACAAGGCGCACAGGCCTCCAGGGAGAGCATGAGCTGGGGAGGCAAGGGGACCGCCTCCCGGACACGCCGAGATGCCCACGAGGGGACCTCCACACCCCCCGGAACCCCGACCCCGCGCGGCAACCCGCCAAACGCCTGGCAGGGGGGCGCTCACCACCCGCCAGAAGACGCGGGGTCCTTGCACCGCCCAGCTCCTCGGCCCCGCCCATTGGCCACGCCCCAATACCCTGTCAGGCCCCGCCCCTCGCCCGGTTTCTTGCACGATAGTATTCCAAGGGAAGTTTTCTTTTGTTTTATTATGAGTGTCCTTTAACACAAGGTGTTAGAGGCATCACTTCGTATAATTCCGTGCCA